TTAAAATCCGGTGTCACGTCCGAGTCAAGGAGCGTTGGAAAAAAAATAAGAATAGTAGAGAAATATTTAGAACTTTTTAATTGTCAGAATATGACGAATGAGGAAAAAGAAAAATGCTAGTACCGTCCTAATGCCGCCGACGACAAAACCAAAGGGGGGTAGCCCCGCCCGGCCCTCAACCCCTCGGTCCCTTCGCGCTACTCTGATATTCCGCGTCGTCGTCGCTCGATCTTGTTGATCCCTGAATCTCTTTGATGAAGGTCCGACGTTGTAACCAATAATGCTAGGTCCAACGTTGAGCCTAGTACTAATGGACACCTATATAATCGGATAATGCGCGACTCGCGGATCTATCGAAACGTTTCAAAATCGCATTGTTGTCGATGTCGTCCTCCGTAAGTACGCACAAGTCACATGCAAGCACACCAATCACGAGACATAATCTTTTTAATCCTAATTTTAATAAGAAAATAAAAATCTTGGTCGGCAACCAACGCTAGCTTCACAGTCATCAATAAGTTGAGAGATCACGAGCTCCTTAAGTCTGCACGCCCACACACTCTCTACTCTAGCCTGTCATTCAATCACCGTAAACCACAGACACAGCCGCGCCTCGCGCGGTATACCTAAACCTTAAACCAAACTTACTTTTTGTCGCTTGCAAAAACCAGGGCGGATACCCTTGTAAGGGTATTCGCACCGACACCGTCCCTTCACAGTTCTTCATTGGGCCTTTGGCATCCGGAACGTTGCCTTCCAGAGGGAGGGGATAGTGGTACGGACTCAGCCAGGGCTCGATCCTTGGTCTGCGGGTTACCACCCGTCAGTCTACCATTTTATTTTTGAGTCTCTGATCTCCGGTTCCTGACTGTCGGCGCCCTTTGCAGTTGGTTCCTGTTCTCAAATCCCTCCTCTGACATTCAGGCGCCCAGGCTCAGACCTTCGATTTTCAGCTCAGCCTCGAGGCAAATTGCACTTCTGCCCTCGGGACTCAACTGGAGTCCGGGCATATTCAGTTTCCGGCCTCAGTGCTTGTGCTTCAGTGTGACTTGCTGCGACATTGTGTTCGAAATCCAAGATTGCGACTTTGCGACTTTGCCACTTTGTGTCTACGTCCGTCAAGTCGTGTCGAGTCTGCGTCGAGTTGAGTGAGCGTGTGTCTCACTCTCCCTCTCTCTTCCAGCCTCTCTGCTCTGCCTCAACCCCGTCACAAATTGGGACTTCAGACTAGGGAGCTCACCGAACAATTGACAATCTATAAGGGCACGTACATATGGAACCAAATCCCTTTTTACCTCTGTATCAGACTGGGTTGAGGTTGTCTTAAAGATGGCCTCATAATATTCAAGAGCGGTTTTCTGCTTGGCCTCTTCCTCATTTTCGTCTTTGGCCAGTTCCTTCTGGTAGAGGGGTTGGTAGAGCGGTTTATCCTCATCATCCTCTGCATCCATCTGAGCTTTCAAAATCCCTGAAAGTTTGGTTGTTGCCATGTTAGAACTAATAGATCCCTCAATTGGCAAATCCCCTCTCTCTCTTCTCTCGTGTCCACATGTCACGATGGGCATATCACGAACTTCAGCAAAAGAAACAGACTGAAAAACACAAAGGAGAGAAGGTAGAACTTCTAGCCAAAGTGGAAAAGTATTTGGATTAGAGAGAAACCAAAGAAAAAAATAATTCAAAAAAGAGTTCTCACTCCACATTTTAGTCCGGTCAGACCAAGCACGAGATCCCCTCGAGCCTAATCCGATCGGCACTGTCGAAGTACAGCAAATCAGACTACAAGTGGCGACATACAGCAATGGAGAATTGAGCGGTGTATAAGGTGCAGGTCAAGCATTGGATTGTGTGTCATCAGTCCGCAAAACATCTCAGTCGAGATCCCCTCGGTAACAGGTGCTCTAACCAAAAAAAAACAACGGATTCCAAACAAAAAAGAGAGTTACATTGCGTCAACAGATTTGGGTCCAAGGGGCCCTTCTTGTTTGGGCCTGGTCCCACTGATTCCCAATGGGTCCCAAGTAGGTCGCGACCAAGTCCCAAGCAAGAAGAGTACCACAAGGTCCTACTTTCTGCCTCTACCGTACTGAAAAACGAAATTCAACTTTTTAGAGATAACCTACAAACAACATCTGCTCATAATGAAAAGACGAAGCACTGTAAAAAGATATGGCATCCAAAGCAAGATACTTCATGTCTCCAACCATCAGGTCAGTAAGTAGTTTGCACACCAATGCACACAATGTAGACTTCACAGGAGTGTGAAAGAGACCCAGAAGTACCCCAACAGGACAAACAATACCGTGCATGCGCGCATGGGCAACCCTTAGGTGCACGACAATTACCTGAGTGGCCTGGACTATGAGATGAAGTATAACTCACCCCCCTTCCTCATATGGTCCCCCTCACCCTAATCGCTACCTCTACACTAGTGTCCTATCATGTAGAAGGGTCTGACTCCAACATCAAAGTGCAACACCGGATCCCTCGTCGATGCTGAAGAACAAAGTAGCAACTTGCAGTCCGTAGATGCAGAATGGCTACCTCCCTCAAGATTGCCTACTTGAGGGACGTCCTTAAGTCACCAAGTGTCTCCCTCAGGTCAGATTCCAGGTGTGAGTGCCTCTCACTCTCGCCTCTCTCAAATTGTCGCATGAAGTCCTCTTGATGTGTCTCACCACCACAAGCTCACTCTCAATCAACCCGGTCAGGTCTAGTGTCGACCCAACACGACCTAACCAGGTGAGGGCAGCTTCCCAATCCACGCTGCCCCACTTCCCACTTTGGACCAACCATAACCCTAAGTGGTCATCCCTAACCACTTAGGTTAGGGTTAGGGTGGATAAGTCAACTCTCACCAGCAAGTAGAATCTGCTCCGATACCAATGTTATGATCCTGGCCAATTTCAAAGTACACATTCATGAGAAAGTACAATGTCATCCAATTGCAAAAAGAAATGAATGAACTTGAGAGGAGAGAGAGGGAAAGAAGAAGAAGAAGAAAGAAAGAAGAAGAAGATTATGTACACCAGCATAGACCAATGATAATTCCCTTCTTCTTTGCCAACCACTCTCCTCCTCCTTATCTCCTCCCCTCTTATTCAAACAAGAAATAATAATAATGATGTTGAATGGCTGAGCCAGAATCAATGTCCAAATCCCTCTTCTACTGCTGGTATCACATGAGGTTCACCATAGCCATGGCCACCCTTCTTCCTCGTTCCTCCTTCCTCCAAGGCCGAGGCTATGGTGGACTACCAGGGCATTGCCCTGCTGTGCAAAGGACAACACAAAGCAGCTATGGCTGCTCCAGCTCAGGCCATGATGCCTGACTCTGCCTCAAAGCTTCTTGGTGTAGCTCTACCCCACTGGGGCCTTCATGCTGCAACGCCCACCAAGGTGATGAAGATGGCAACCACCATAGGGGGCCTTCCTGCTGCAGCGCCCACCAAGGTGATGAAGATGGCAACCACCATAGCCAGGTAAGTACCTCTGGCGCTCCCCTTTCCTTGTCCTTGTCTTCCTCCTCTCTGTGTCCTTGCTCCTTCCCCAGCAGCCCTGCTCTGATGCTAGCGCTGCTCCAGCCAGCGCTCCAACCAGTGTGTCGCCAAACTTGCACACCGACAACAAGGAGGAGCACTTCGCTCCTCCTGGAGATATAGCGGCCTGCTTGCCTCTTGGTGAGTGACTTCCTAGGCCGCGCGGCCTCCAAGCAACTGGTACCTCCTCCCGTTCGGAGGGAAACATCATTGCAGACTATGATATTGCCCATACAGGCCCTAGACTCAGACTGGTTGGACTGGTACCCGCCTGGACCCAGCCTACAACTACTGGGCCTCTAAGAACGCCAACTTTGTCTTCGTCTACTCGGCCTCGAGTACTCAGCACATCTGCCTCTTCCTGGTGTGGTACCTGCCTACCTGTTACTCGAGTGTTTTTCCACTGCTTTTGCCGGCCTCTTTCCCCGCCACTTGAGTGTTTTCCTTGCTGCAACCCTCAATGCCACGGCCACAGGTAGTACCGGCCCTTTGGGCCTTCCACACCAACAAGTACCCTTGTGGGTCACACACACAGTCAAACCAACAAGTACCCTTGTGGGTCACACACACACTCGAACCAATGAGCACTCAGACAGGCATGCAGACCAGCAAGAACGCACAAACTCAGATTTAGAAAACTCAACAACAAGCGGGAAACTCAGCAAGGCATACATTCCATTGGCAAAATCAGCTGTGTGTCTCAGTCCGTGTTTGGCAGGTCCTAACACCAACCAGTAACTCAACTGGTCCAAATAGGCACAAGTGCCTGTTCGGACAATCCAGAGTCCAAAAGACACATCCCGGACTGGACAGAACCTGGAACAGACAAAATACTCTGAATAATGACATCCTACCTACTGCCCGGCGAGCCTAGACCAACATGTTAATTGCAAGCAAGATACGAGCACCCATAGGAATGGAGGAGTGACAAAAAAACGTGTTGAGATTTACAGAATAGTGATGGCGATGAAGACGTCGAAATCTATTTCCATCTTGATCACGTCGATATTTCACCTTGGCATATCTGAAAATCCGGCTAGATATGAACAGAAATAAATGGAAAACGTTCATCCAGAAAATACAGAAACTAAATGTCTCTGCAATCCATTTGAAGGTACACATGATGCAAGATCCAAAAATAGGATTGCAGATAGGGAAGATAGAGGATGCACAATACAAGCAGGAAGGTGGTAGAACTTTGAGCAAACACGATTGTGGTTCTCTCAAATCCTAGCCATCATTTAGGTTGAAGTACGAATATGAAATACAAGTTGTACAACCAAATAATACTCCAGAATGCATGGCCCAAAATGTGGGTCTTGCATCAAAGGCGCCCTATGTCCAATGTCGGGCCTTCAGGGCCAGTGTGGGATGTCTGAGCATGCCACACTTGCACCTGAACAGGTGCTTGTCGATTGAATGCAATCATGGTTGAACCTGAGCACATCCTCAAGAAGACTTCCATCTTTCTCAAGTTCATTATAAACTTAATATAAAGCATTTTGAGGTTGCCACCATGTCACTCTGTGATACAAGGACCTTGAAGATGGGCTGGTTGCTGGAGCAATGAAACAGACGAAAGCATCCCACGAAGAGGACATCCAGAGAGAAGTTATTCCGAGGGTCAGTGGCAAAGAGATGGATCTTGCCTTCATGAGCACATTCCTGAGGCGCTTTGTGTCATTCTCTAGACCTTTCACCTGCAAGCAGTTCACCAACCGGTGCAATTCAGCAGTTTCCGTCATATACACTGTGTAGATGAAAGCTTATGAAACATTTTGTATGCCCGTTACATAGTGAGAACCAAGGGACTACAACTTATTATGGAGTGGCTCGGAGAATCCCAGATAGCATAAAAAGACCTCAGAGAATTCCAGTGGGTAGCGTGTCTCGAAAACATAAAATTATTTGTTGCTCAGAGAAAAGGCACCGAAAGGGGCCAAAGCACTGACCTCCAGGGATTTATCTTCCACGTCAGCTTTCAGTCTCCGTACCTCAGATCTAAGTGAGAGAACCTTCAGCATAGTAAACACAGCACGTATGCAGCAAGTAAGCATTATGAAAGCACATGAACTGTCGGTCGGAAAACATTTTTGAGCAATTGGCTGAGGCTCGTACCATATTAACCATTTGCTCTGATTGTCCAGAAGCAAGATTGTGAATCGGGACAAGCAGCAATAAGCCATTGAAGCGCAACGAACCCTTACTTTCCTTCTCCTTCATGCTTGTGGCCCCTTCAGGTCCTAAATCTGACTGTCAACATTGAACACGTACAATACCTTTTTCTTGACCTGTACGTCATTTAGGTCTCAGCAATAAATTATGGTTTGCGACCTTAACTTGCTCTTCATAACTCTCCCTGTCTTTTGAACATGCTCAACCTGCTTATCGTTTTCTATGTCATTGGACCATTTTACAAACAAAACAAAAAAGAAAAGAGGGGAGAGAGAGAGAGAGAAGGGGGAAGAGAGAGAGAGAGAGAGAGAGAGAGAGAGAGAGAGAGAGA